GAGAAATAGGAGCAAGGAACAACGAAGAAGAGTGAGAAAGGCGCACACAGAAACGTATTAGATTTGTACAATACAAGTAAACATGCACACACACCACGCATCAGGACAAAGGCAGAGAAGAAGAGAAAAAAAGACCTACAAGAGAAGAGATAATAGCAATTGTAAGAAGAAGGAAAAAGAAGAAGAAAAGAAAAAAAAAAGTAAACAAAGAAAAACTTGTTAGACTGGTTACTTAAAAGGATAGGGATCATTCGTTTTGAGAAGTAAGAGAGCGGACGAAAGAATGGGAGAGAAGGAAAACCACTATGACCTAGAGGATTAGAACGTGCCGCACTACTATACCTTCGAATCATACAAACGATCCGGGGAATGAGGATAGTAGACAGAGAGCATCAGGAGGGATGAGGGAAATGGAGGTTGAAACATCAAAATCCTTCATCCATTTTGAAACTGCTTCAATTCAATATAAATACTCTCACTATATTTCTCGCAGTTTAGGATAACTTTACAATCTCGATATACAAACTGTAGTAATTGAATGGTTAGGACTTTTTTTTTGTAGAAAAATGTCATTGGATTCACTTCTTATTATCGAGGGCGAGGGCATCGAAAGTGCTGGAAGTATTGCTGCATATTCTTATGATAATATATTCTTGAATTATGCAGCTTCTAAGGCATCGTTATTGACCGTTCAACTTCGACAATCTCAAACTGATCTTAATACAGAACATCATAATGAAAAACATGCATTAATTGCATTGAATGAACGTTTCCATCTCTTTGTGGAATATGTTCAACGACTAGAAGAACAACATGATAAATACATGGCTCAATTGGTCTCATTCGTACGACACTCGTATGATATCAGTACTATTGAAAGTAAACACAAGAAAGAGTATGTGCATTTAAACACTGATCTTATGGCATTAAACAATGAAAAGATCGATGACGAAACTGGATATGAAATGTTTCAATTACAGGCTGCTATTTATTGTCAATTGATTGAGCTTGAACAATATACCAAAGACAAACAATGTTTGAAATTAGAACAAGAATTGAATAAGACGTCATCTATCCTCAATACTCTACGTACATCACATGCAAATTTACAACAGGAAATAAAAACTGTGTTAGCATTACGTTCAGAAACATTACAACAGTATCTGACATTGACACAAAAGTGGTGCAACGTGAAAAGAAATACAAGAAAACAGAAATGGAATACGAAAATATTGAAAAATCAAATTGTTTTCTACAAGAACATACATTTGTATTTAAAGTCGGTATACTTCATTTGATCTTTTCTTTTTCTTTCGATCGACAAACATATTTCTCTTTTTCTTTCAGAGAATTCAAATTATTCAACATTGAACCAGTTGATGGCAGTAAATTTTGGGCATCGGCATACGATGAATGTGTGAAGAAAATACGTCATGATTTTGAATGGCTGTATGCAAAAATTCATCGTAAAATGATTGCATTCTTCGAATTAAAGATGCGAGACATAAAAACAGATGTTGAAGAATTATTGGAGTATCAGAAAATCGAAATTGAACAACTGGCTAAACGCATTCGACAATGGGAAAGTGAATGTGAAAAAATGCAGAAAAGTCTTTCATATGAAAAAGATTTGGAAATGAAATTGGAAGCTACGTGTTGTAAGTGAAATTTTATAGCTTGTCGTAAAAAGAAAAAGAAAATTTCAATACAGTTACAGCTACTTTAACTATGCATAAAGATCCTTACTATACAGATCATGATCAATGGCAAGATTAAAGAAGCAACATCACATTGAACTATCTATCAGAATCCGTGACAGAGCCTATAACCAGTAGGATAAAACGTCTGTCTCTATCTGCAAGACAAATCTGATGATTTACTATTTTCGATATATACTTTAATGCTTATTAACAATTGTATTGCAGAAAAATTCTATTTGACTTCTTATAGCTCAGCTAGTATCGAAATTCCAAATGATTCAATTTGAAAATGTCGAGGAATTAGAAAAACAATTCAAAGATATATCTATTTTAAAGGAAAAATTTACGACAATAGCCTATGATATTCAACAAATGCAAGAAAGGTTAGAAAGTTTGATCACAGTCGAAAATAGGTATTAATTATCTTCATGCATAATTCTTCTAGAAACGTCAATTTAGAAATTGAAATCATTCTCTATCGTGACCTATTGGGATGTACTGAAAAACATAAGGAGTTAATTGTCTCTTCTTCATTATCTGAAAGATCAAAGGCAAGAAAATGGACTATAAAAGGCTGTACAATTGGATCGATTGGCATTAGTAAGTATGATCGATTATAAAAAAAAAGAAAGAATTTGATTCATTTCTTTTTTGTAGAAGATTGTCCGCTCGACGGGGATTACATTAGTTTAATAAATCATTCGAAAAGTAAAAATTTTGATATTTCAAAATGGGTACTTACACATCAGGTCGATTTTGAGCCAATAGTGAAATATAAAATACCTGATGGAATTCAACTTCAAGAAGATGGTGAAGTAATAATCTATTCGACGCAAGGTGCCAATGTTGCTAAATTATTGTTAACTGATCATGCTACTTCATCGTTGTTACATCAAAAACTGGTGAATAGGGAACTGTTTTCGTGGGGTAAACGAGTACATGAAGTTGCTCTTTTTATTAATTAGTTTCTGTTTCGACTATCTAGGTACAGGAAATGTACTCAAAACAGTCTTATTTAATCAACATGGCGAACAGGAATCATCATATTTACAAACGATATTCTCTCACAGTGGTATGATGTAGTATACAAAAATACCAACACAAACTCTTTATTAATGGAAAATATACTCACCTCTTATACCAAATTCTACTTTCTGATCTTCTTATCTTCGTAGATGCTTAGTTGAAAATTTGCAGCTTTATTTTGTATGTGCGCTTTCCTACTCCTACTATTGATGACATAGTACAGTCTGAAAAAATCAGTATACTTTTCGACTTTTCTGTTTTCATGGATTTACTTAAAGCTTTTTGGACAACTCATAGAATATGGAGATTCTATAGAAAAGTACTACTCCAATGTTCACAGTGACATAACCATATGGCACTATATAAGGTACTTTGATCTCTTCAATGCACATTAAGCTTTGAGAGTAAAATCTTACAAATAGTTTCGTAGAGCAAGATGAGATCGATCGACTGCTATATGATCGGTTTTTTTTTATAGTCATCAAATGGTGAAGAAATATTCAAAATACGATGATGGCTCTGAAAGCTCACTTTTCAGGTTGTTAAAGTTGTTTCATGCAATAAATCAACTTTGAGCAATCAAGAGCAAGCTTTCAAATCGTAATATTATGCATTCGAGTAGGGTATGAGATTAACTATCTATGAACAAGACTGAGTTCAAAATCTGAAATTTCACATGCATCTATATTTCTTTAATCTTTGTTATGAAATGTCACTTAAAAGATGTTCGAATCAATATTTTTGTCCGATGCTGATGCAATTTGATAACAAAAGTGAACACGAAGTCTTGATTTCATGAATAGAAGTCTATGTTTATTTCTTCTACGAGTCACTTTTTTAATCCTATCTTTCATCAAGCATCATGCTAGTAGGGTAGAAATTTTCCGTAGATAGCTAATGGTCGATTATAAGGGTATGGTAATGACTCTTCTCTTTTCTTGCAGTCACATACACACGTCACAGCACTCACACTCATACTGACACCCAACTCATTCAAATCCGTTGTTTATGTTAAGATTTAAGCGGTCGTTCATGGTGAAATGTATCACTACCATAGTTATTAGTAGTAATCTACCTTGAATATATATATGGTTGTCTGCAAAGAAACAGTCAATAGACGAAAAGCGTTTGAATACACATTCAATGATTCTTTTGTGTGTCTGTTTCGAAAAAAATACCTTGAGATCTTTTTAGCGAAAAGAAATGTATTCTTATGAGGGCAGGTTCCCAAATGATAAATTGCTTTTGAACTGGAGCTATATTTAATCGATAGGATCTAGTAAGTAAGTAAATACTCTAGAGTGATTGAAGTCACATAAAAGCAATACTTAGACTAGCCAATAGAAAAAATTTCCGAATTTTTTGAGTAAGTGTCCCTAAAATATAAATCTTTCAAAATATTCATGCTTTTTACAATAATCATGACAAAGTGCCTATATTTTAAAAACTTCATATCTTGAAGAGAGTTAGTGAAAAACTTTTCAATTTTTTTTTCTACAAACTAGCTTAATCGATGCCTTTATGTGAACAAAGTTTCAGGTCGAAATATAAAAGTATGATTTCGCTTGAA